TGGTCATGGATGCTTTAGGGACATCAGCTCCCTCCTACGGCCACTAAATCTTCTGCACAGAGAACAAGGATGGAGGATATGTTTATGGAGTGTGTGCTAAATGCTAATATGTAGTATAATTTGAATTATGTACTGCAATACATATAAATGATACTGACATAACTGCACTGCAAAATCCTTATTTGGATTCAACTGGGCTGCCCAGGTTCTGAGCGCCCGCTTAGGCGTTGGGTGGCCTGGACCCCCCAGGTCGCCTAGCGCTTTTTGAAACACTGTACATGAGAGAATAAACATTTAGTACTTTTGATATTTGAATCCGATATGACAAATATAAAAGAAGAGCCTTCATTAATGTTGATTGTATTGGCCTCTTAGGAATCCCATCATTTCTCAAGGGTGATTGTCTCTTACTATTTTTGTTTAGGATATCTATTATACTTGTAAAGTCACAATTGTTGTTGATTGTTTGACAGTTAGTACTTTCAACACCAGCGTAGAACATCATGGGTTTGAAACCCATGAACAATAAGAATCATGAATCAAAGTAATGTCTATAGTCAAACATGCTTACTAACCACGTCCGAATGGCATATCGACAAAATTTATTCCTCGACATATATGGAATATGTGTTGGACTAGTGTCGAAGCATGTCGAGATGTCTACATGTCGACAAGTGTCTTAAGTGCCACACATGTTGACACGAGATACAAAAGCAAAATTGGAGTGTATGGGTAACACTGTCAAAGGCCCAATGCTTATGAGACTATGGGGCCATTAGTTATGCTACGTCAGATTGAAAACATGATTACAGGGGTAACCAGAGTAAAGTGCATTAGTATAGCTGAGAATCCAAAACAGAGGCACCTATTTCTCATCTAATATTCTTTAACAAGATCAAAAGTCTTATTTTTATAAAGGCAAACTTTTGGATATTTTCGAGATTTTTAGATAATTTTTCTACAAAATGAACAAACAAATTTCAAAAGACAAATTAGAACACAACATGTGAGCCTTAGGCACATGTGAGGCCCAAATGGTCAATGGGCATCACTAGGCCCATGGGTCCCAAGTTATGCGTCCATTTGGGGGGGGGCGGGGGGGCATGCCCCAGCCACAATGTCCCACCGATGATGATATCATGCAGAGATCATCAACCAGCTATCCCACACTATTTACTTTCCTATGTTTGAACTAAAGTGAACTATGAAGGGTTAAGGTTGTAATTGGGTTCAAGAGGGGACAATTGTCACAAGTCCTTGACACATATGTAAAGTAAGCAATGTTCCAAAAAAGTCACGCCGCACTTAAGTGGCCGAGGGGTTCTAGGCCTCCCAACGCCTAGGCAGGCACCCAAGGATCTAGACGGCCTAGGTTCAAAGGGACAAAAGGGTGACCAGTAATCTTGTTTTAGGTCTGGATTTTGTAAATGCATTTTTTATAATTCAAACAAAAAAAAAAGACAAAAATGCCCCACCAGATGAAGATTTTTGCATCTAAGAGGGCGTAGTCCCCTGAGCGGACCGCTTTTTGAATCAATGAAAGTAAGATTTTGATTTCTTGGGACACTCATCTCTTGTGATCTGAATACATGTTGAGTTAGTCATCCAAACCCTATTGGATGACTAAGGGATACAGGTGCAATCCCAACCCATGATTCATGTTAGATGATCAAAGATTGGATAGCTTGATTTGGAGCCTCTCTTCACCCTATAGATTACCATTATCAATGGCCCACATTGCTCCACCTTAAGAACAAAATTATAGACTCCAATCCAACCGTAATTCGACAATATAAATTGGGATCATCTGTACCCCCATTTTCTTCACGCTCCAAGCTATTGTTATGCTGCCAAATTTTCTCTAGACTCTCTCCTTAGCCTCCATGCCACCCACACTTGACCGCATACTCTCTCATGGTCTTGGTGTTGTGATTCCTTAACCTTCGTTAGTGCCCATCTCAACCTACACTATACTACTACTCTCTCTCTCTCT